CCTCTGAAACGGCCTTCACAATAAGTGGTGAGCTGAGCACTTGATGGAGATTTTGAGATAGGAGTTCCAGTTTCTGCTCTGTCTATATCTAGCTGTGTGATTACCAGAAGACACTTAACTTCTCTGGGCCTTGGTGCCTTCATCTTTAAAATACGGAGCAGAGCCTCTGTGTTGGGGGTGGTGGAAAGTGCAAAGAAATAACGGGAGAGGAGAAAGGAGATGGGGAGGGGGAGGGAGAGGGAGGAAGTGGGGGGGGGGAGAGAGAGAGAGAAAGAGAAAGAAAAAGAAAAAGAGATCTCACCTAGACTTGAAGGCTGTTTCTCTCCCTACCAGAAAATAACATATGAAACTTTTTTGTGAGTTAACAGAATGCAGGGTGGGGCACCACTGACCCTTTAATTGTTGAATTCAAGGATAATTTTAGTCATCACTTTATTTAACCTCACTCCTCTGAATTCACTACCAATCATCTCCTTAAAACTCTCTTCCCTTTATTCCACAGGATAATTCTCTCATTGATGACCTCCTGACTCCTTTATCTTTTCTTCTCATTTCAATCCTGGGCTCTTCCTCCACTAACCCCTTAAGGGTCAAGAGTGGGAAAGGCCAGTCCAAAGCTAAAGATCAAGGTCATAATGAGAAACCGGCAACACTCCTGAGAAGCAGCACCTGTGTCCTGGAAGCCAACTTGAAGACTGTGTCACGGTGTGCCCAATGCTGCTGATGTGTGACGTAAGATGAGGACTGAGAAATGACCACAGGATTTAGAGGCATGGAAGTCATCAGGGACCTGGACAAAAACAGTCTCAGTGGAGTAGCTTGAAGAAAGAACAATGGGAATGAAATTGGAAACAAGTGTAAACAACTCTTTCAAGAGGTTTTGCTACTAAGAGAAATAAAGAAATGAGGTAGTATCAGAGGATGAAGTGGAATCAAGAGAGAATATTTTTAAGATGTAAAACAAATAGCATTTTTTGTATGCGAATAGGAACCATCCAGAAAAGAGGAAAATGGATGACGCAGATCAGAGAAAAAAAACTGCTAGAAAAATAATTTTTAGGTATGCAAGAAGGATGGGCTCCAGCAAAGAAGTGGAAACAGGGCCTGAGTCAGAAGTAAGGTCAATCCATCAATAGTTACAGGTGTGAAGATAAAAAATATGCACCCAGAAGCACATAACTGGGTAGATGTAATGGTGGCAGCATATAGAAATTCTCTTCTGATTGCTTCCATCTTTTTCAGTCATGATCTGAGAAGGAAGACAGAAGATTTGGTATTAAGAGCTTACAAATAAAGCAAAATGCATGATTAGTTATTTAGAAAAGGGGAACTATGGTACACTCGCCATGCAGCTCAACAGGTCCATGTGGATTTAGGGATCATGAATTTAGAGTAGGCTAATAAGTACGGCTGGAGGTTTTCCTCCTAATCAAATATGAAAGAAAAGGTGCAAAATATTTGAGAGTACACACAAGAAAGGAAGTATGATGACAGAATGTGGAAGTTAAACTGGAGAAAGAAGGAGGAAAATTAGGACAAGAGAAGAATGAACATAAGGAGCTGGCTCCTTACCATCAATGGATGCTAGGTTCTGGTGAACCAAAAGGCTGCTTGAGTCAGGATGGGAACCTCTTTATTTATATTAGGCTGTTCCTTTGGCAGAGTACTTCTTTACTTTCATGTGTTAAAAGAGGGCAAAGGGGAAGACAGTCCTTTATATTCAGGTGGCAATAAATGTGCTAGGTTATAAAACAATGGGGATGAAGGAGTTAATAAGATGAATTAAACTTTATTAAGGTTCTGTTATGTGCCAGGCACTCGGCTGGGCATTTGGCACACATTATTTCATTTAATAGCTATATCATGCCTATGAGGGGATAAGGTAAATATAATCATAACCATTAAAGAACCTAAGCTCAGGGTCATTACACTTGCACAGGTCACAGAGCTAGTAAGTGGCGGTCAAGACTCAAATATGTGCATGCCTAACTACAGTATTTAAGAGCTTTCCCACTTCAAAATGTTTTAATACATATAATGAAATATTTTCAAGTGACTATTCTTTCTTGCTACTATTTTTCTGGTCTTTGAGAATGAGGCAGTGGAGGGGTGAGGAAGGTAATAGGTACAGCAGGTACTACAAGCCCAATATTGAATTTCTGTATGACAGACATGCTCTGAGTTTTAACAGTTATCAACTTTATAAATCCTCAAATATTTTGCTGAAATATGGCTTTTTCCCTTCCCTGATTAATATACCTTATATTATATATTATTAGAGCACATTATATTAATAATTTAAGTATATGTTCTGCTTTGTTTTTTTTTTTTTTTTTTTT